TGCTATTATAAACTAAGAGTCATAAATGTGAGATTAAAAAAAGTTTTTATTTCGTGGTGGAAAACAAAAGTGAGAAAAAGTCAGAATTGTGAGATTAAAAAGTTGCAATTATTATTTTTTTAATAATTAATTTTAATATCATTTATTGTATTTTTTTTTTCGTATTCTGTAGTGGAAGCAACTTTCCATCCAAAAATGCCACTGCATCTGTTGCTGAGAGTTTCAGAATATTTACACATTTAATAAAGGCCTTGCATTTCAGTTCAAAGCTTTTTCTTTATTCTCCAGATCATCTGAAACCAATAGCAGAGGAGGAGAGGAGAATAGAAGAGGAGGAGAAGAAGGTACGAGAGGAGAAGGAACGCATTGCTAAACAGCTAGCGGAAGGTAAGGTTTTCTCTTGATTTTGAAATAGTGTGACTCTTCTGCAGATTGAGCAGTTGGTTGTACTGACTCTGAATATTTTTATCCAACAGCTAACGAGGACACAATCTTGAAGTGAGCTGCCCAAAATTATGCCTGTATCGCTTCTATTGTAAAGATCTCGTTAACTGTCTGGATAAAGAATGATGCTTGTATTCTGCCACTTTGGTTTTACCGTGCCCTTTTCACACCTTCCACTGTTTTCTTATAGGTCATGTTAGATTAATGCCTCATTTGTGAAATAACTGGATACATGAAAATATGTGCATCAGTTTCCTCTGATCGGACACGGTCTATTCTTTCATTGAAGAACCTCTGATAATAATGATGTGATGCAGATGTAAAACAAGCAATGTAATGTTAAACATACACTGAATCAAGAGTTCCACTTTGGTAAACATCCACACCAATATTTATTAATAAACTGTTTATCCCGATTTCTTTTTTGTCATATTTAAAATTCATTTTAATGTCCAGGCAGTTCAAAGTCTGACACAGCAGCATTTAATATTAAAATGTATTCAGTTTTTTTATTTTTATCAATGCAAGGAAATACTGTAACTAATGAAACTTCAGGTTGTTGTTAAAAAATTCATCATATAGTCCATTAAATCTATTTTTATCTCCAATAAAATATACCCGTGGATTGTCTTGTGCATATTGAATACAAATATGATAAGCAGAGGCTGCACAGACACAGACTTGCTGGTTTAAAAATAATTGTGCTTTACTGCAGCATCAGATAAACACCCCTAAATGACATTCAAAAACCAAATTAACCGTTTGGACACTTGACATGTTGATCAAACTAGTCTCATCCTGTTCTGGTGAGTGTTTTTGATCAAATTAAGATACAAAGTGAAGCATATTGTATGTGGACAGTCAAAAGTTGGTCTAATCAAGACTACCAGTTCTCTGAATATTTCTCAGTGACAGAATATTCTCCATTTCTTCCCCAGTAATCCACGGCTCTGACTCTATAATAACCGCTCACCTCCAGACTCTCTGTGGAGAGAAAAACCCAAGCAGGTCAATATGGATCAGAGCTTGGAGTTAAATATTCTGAATCCAGCCAAAATAATACCTGGAGAATAAGTGTAGTATGTGAAAATAGTCTCTCTCTGATTAATCCTCTGGAAAGCCGTCTCATCTTTGGAAAATTCCACTTCATAAGTTTTTATACACCTAAAAATGACACGTTAGTTATGTTTAAAACTCTTGATTGAAGAACTAGTTTGTTTAATAGCTGTATTTAAGCAGATCTTACTTTGTGCCGATGCAGTGATCCTTCCAAATGATCAGAACCTGTCCTTTGGTGATGGTGATGAAACGCACCCCGTTTACCTGCGGAATGATAACTGTGATATTAAAACCAAACCCCACATGGTTTCTCAATCTCTGCAAAGAATAACTTGCACAATTTTTGCAATCACACTCTCAAATTAATTTCATGTACAGACAAATAGACTTTTTGGGCGTAGAGAAACAGCAGATGCTATGAAATCACCCCACATCATGACTGATACTGAACTCAAGGGCTGTGTCCGAATTCTGAAAAACAGTGCCTTACTAGGCTTTATGAGGTTCATGCTGGTATGCTTTTAAACAGTAGTTCATATATATGCAGGACACTTGAAAGTTCAAACATTATTACAGTTTGTCTAAAATAAGTAATAGTTCACTTTTGCTAAACATTTACTCTCTCTCAGGTCATCCATGATGTAGATGGATCCTCTGCAGTGAATGGGTGCCGTCAGAATGAGAGTCCAAACAGCTGATAAAAACATCACGATAATTCACACCACTCCAGTCCATCCATTAATTAATTAAAGTCCTGTGAAGTGAAAAACTGCATGATTGTAAGAAACGAATCCATCTTTAAGGTGTTTTAACTTCAAACCGTCGCTCCTGGCCAAAATACTCATAATCAATAAATTCATAATCCATAATAACGCTTCCTCCAGTGAAAAAGTCTATCTCCTGTTGTCTTCTCAGTTCAAAATCCACCAACATATTTGTTTAGACATTTTTGCTTGTAAACGGTGCTTGATCTGTGCATATTTCTCTCCTGATTCAGATGAAAGGAATAGGATAGAGGACTCATATTTTAGATGAAAGCAACAGTCTGAACTTGTGGATTATTGGGATGTTTTTATCAGCTGTTTGGACTCTCATTCTGTCGGCACCCATTCACTGCAGAGCGTCCATTGCTGAACAAGTGATGGAATGCCGACTTTCTCCAAAGAAACAAACTCATCTACACCTTGGATGGCCTGAGTAAATGTTCAGTGTTCTATTCCTTTATGTATTTCAACATCAGCCTTTTAGAGGTTTTTAAGATCATGAGAAACAAATTCCGTCATGTGTCCAAACCTCTGATTGGTAGTGTAACCTTTTGGTGCCACATGGATTTAAAACGAGATGGCTGTAATGTTATTGTTACATCATATTACCACTAACCTGGTCGGGCACTTCCTTAGACTGAGCACAAACATGTACAAGCAGCACTGAGGGGACAGGAAGCGCTGCCTTCAGCGTCTGAGCCATCAGATGGGACTGGCAGAGGTCCATCAGTCTGTGGATCCTACGGCATACACATTAAAGACTCATAACACAGAAAAAAAGTATTTTTCTTCTAATTGTTTTGTAGATATTTATTCAATCTAAGCTGAACAAAAACAACAACTCATGAGCTCATTAACATATGTACACCCATGTGAGAAACATACAGTCGTCTTAAAGGTATATGTGACCCTGGACCACAAAACCAGTCATAAGGGTCAGTTTTTCGAAATTGAGATGTATATATCATATGAAAGCTGAATAAATAAGCTTTCCATTGATGTATGGTTTGTTAGGATCGGACAATATTTGGCCGATATACAACTATTTGAAAATCTGGAGGGTGCAAAAAAATCTAAATATTGAGAAAATCGCCTTTAAAGTTGTCCAAATGAAGTTCTTAGCAATGCATATTACTGATCAAAAATTACGTTTTGATATATTTACTGTAGGAAATTTACAAAATATTTTCATGGAACATGATCTTTACTTAAAGCTGCAGTCCGTAAGTTTTGCCTCTTTGTCGCCATCTCTGTTTGAAAACCTGACATGACATTCAGAGACAAAATCTTAGTACTACAGCACACTAGATCTAGTTTAAGAGACGTAAAATATAAATATATAAATAAAGCATTTAATTAAAGATTATATGTTAATGCACAAACAGAAAATCAAAAAATGAGACCTAATAAACTGTCAAAAGCAGATCCCAAGAGATTTTATGGGACAAAAGTTTTTACAGCATTAAGATTTTATGCATTTATTAATTTTTGCAGTTTATGCATAAACTATAGTTTACATGGGAATGAAAGTGTAAAAGTGATGCATGAACAATAAGCAGACAATATAAGAGATGTATATAATAGTTACTCTAGATGAATACTAAAGTCTAGGTATGATATTAAGATATGTAATCTTATGACAACATCACTGCTTACTTGCAAGGTCACACAAAAATCACAGATTTTTAAACAGATATACTGTATGCATATGCATATTAATATCAATATCAGCATATTAGAATGATTTCTAAAGGCTCACCTGACACTGAAGTATAGAGTAATGATGCTGAAAACTCAGCTTTGCTTCACAGGATTAAATTACTTTTAAAAATATATTGAAATAGAAACCAGTTAATTTGTGATAATATTTCACAATATTATTGTTTTTACTGTATTAAAAAAAAAAATCACACCGACCCCAAACAGAACACACACAACACATGCTCTTGGAAATAATATCTTATGGAAATAGCACTGCTTATTTGCAAGGTCAAACCACAAACAAAGAAAAAGCAGAGAGAGATGCATATATGCGTATTAATATCAATCAATCCTATTAACATATGCAAAGTAAATGATATTGTAATAGTTCACATTCATTCAAACAGAAGAAGAGGAAGTCTGATTCTGGTAATATGGTGTGACTGACCGTGCGGAAACCAGCTCCAGCATCCAGTGTATCCGCACCTGCTGGATTCCTCTGTGTGGCACAGAGCCGATCAAAGCCAGATTCATCTGCTGCTCTGGACTGAGATCATACAGGTGTGCATCACTGTGTGGCTGTGGAGGGCTGCAAAAACAGAAGACAAGTGTCAATTGTGTACTTAATGATTTTTCCCACTAAAACAATTACACAGACAGAGTTTTCCTGGAAATACTTGTAGATGTATAGTGCAAATAGTGCAAAAAGTATTACGATATTACCACACTTATATTTTTTATTACATTTTTTAATAAGGTATGTACACATTATTATAGTAGTACTATTTTGAGTATTTTAGCATGTACTATAGTATGCTAGAAGATAGATGTAAAGTATATATACATGCACTATAGTGTACACCATTCATACATGTACTGTACTGTGGTATTCGCTGTACCATGGCATAATGTTACAAAGGGGTCGTTGACAAGCGTTTTACTAACCAGAATCCAGTGCTTCTCCAAAAGTGCTTCAAGTTTCGTAGTGGCTTGTCAACATTCACTTGAACCTCCTCAGACTGAGAGAAATACTATCCATGTGAATGACCTGTGTTTACATCTATACATGCTGCTCACGTCACTTACAAAACACTCACGTTCAAAGTGCAATGAAAACGAAAAGTACAGTTAGGCTAACATCTGTTAACTTTTTACTCATCTTGATTCTTTAGTCAGTTTAAATTTACTTGCATAGCTATTTTTATAGAATAGATAAGACGACAATATAGCAGCGCAACCGATTATACACACACGCATGCTAACGTTTTTTTTTTTCTAAAGCAAATATCTGAAGCAATTAAGGATAATAAAAGAGATGTGGAAGACATTTTCAGGCCCTTTTTATTGTGACGAATGAGCTTTATATATCGACAATTGTTGTCCTAACAGGCAAGGCTGATTTATTTATTCAGCACATTTAATATAAAATGCATAATACAGAAAAAAGAAATATAAAATTATATAAAATCATAAGTTTTGGACTAAATGGACATAGAATTTAAAAATGGACTCAAATGAAGCATTAAAACAGAATAACAAAATAAAAAGTTGCATTCATAATAAAAAATAAAATATGACATGAAAGAGAACAGACTGTTATGCAGATTTCAACTACTATACAGCTAAAGCAAAATGCATTAAGATCACATAAAACAATAACATAAAAAACCGCTTAAAGCTTTTTATCTACTTCAGTCCCTTACCAAAAAGTAGTATACTTCAAGTTTATTTGATTAAGTATACTTAAGTAAAGGTCAAGCATATTTTTAAGTATACTTTATGTAGCAAGTATACAAATATCAGTGTACTAGTAGTATACTTGTAAGTGTACTATTTCAATACTACTTGGGACTAAATTGGCCCACTTTCTAGTATATAAAAGTATACTTTTAAGTATAACAGTAGTAAACTTTAAGTACACAACTAGTTTACAACAATATTTTTAGCTTGTCCTGCAACTATACTAAAAGTGAACTTATATGAATACTGATAGTTTTCTAATTAAATACTTGTAGCATTTTTAGTACACTTTGAAGTATAGTCTTAGTAAACTACTAGTTTAGTAGTTTTATACTGCAAGTATACTCATAAGTTTTCTTTAAGTGAACTTTACATCATACTTTAAGTATAATACTATGTCCCTATTTAAGTTTGTATATATTTTGTTATATAAATATCTGAACATACAAAACACCAAAAGAATAAACAGGGTATCTGCTTGTAAACAAAAAACATTTTATTCAAGCTTCATGCATTCTTTTTTTAAACACTTGAATGTGGGTAAGTTTCATAAATAAAAAAAGAAAGAAAATAAATTTTCTTTTTTGAACAAAAAGCTGAAAAAAGACTATGAATTGGATTCAGAACGATAATCAAAACGTAGATAGAGTCGATCAACACCCCAAAGCTTGACAGTCATTATTACCTCTTGATTGGTCGACATTACATCAATTTTACACAGTTTTGATGCTGTTTTATGTCTAATGACCATGTTAGAATACATGTAGAAGCATCTGTTGTTTCGGTTTCTTCTTCACTTGTGTTTTTTGGAAATTCTGTACAGAAAATGTGTACTAGTGCGATTCTAGGAACACAAATATAGCTCAAATATATTTAGACTTTTTCTAAGTAGGCTATAAGTCAAGTACACTTAAATGTCATTTTAAATATATTTCTGAGAAGTACACAAAGCCCATTTCTGAGAAGTACATAAAAAGTAGACTAAGCAGACAATATAAGAGATGTATATAATAGTTACTCTAGATGAATACTAAAGTCTAGGTATGATATTAAGATATGTAATCTTATGACAACATCACTGCTTACTTGCAAGGTCACACAAAAATCACAGATTTTTAAACAGATATACTGTATGCATATGCATATTAATATCAATATCAGCATATTAGAATGATTTCTAAAGGCTCACCTGACACTGAAGTATAGAGTAATGATGCTGAAAACTCAGCTTTGCTTCACAGGATTAAATTACTTTTAAAAATATATTGAAATAGAAACCAGTTAATTTGTGATAATATTTCACAATATTATTGTTTTTACTGTATTAAAAAAAAAAATCACACCGACCCCAAACAGAACACACACAACACATGCTCTTGGAAATAATATCTTATGGAAATAGCACTGCTTATTTGCAAGGTCAAACCACAAACAAAGAAAAAGCAGAGAGAGATGCATATATGCGTATTAATATCAATCAATCCTATTAACATATGCAAAGTAAATGATATTGTAATAGTTCACATTCATTCAAACAGAAGAAGAGGAAGTCTGATTCTGGTAATATGGTGTGACTGACCGTGCGGAAACCAGCTCCAGCATCCAGTGTATCCGCACCTGCTGGATTCCTCTGTGTGGCACAGAGCCGATCAAAGCCAGATTCATCTGCTGCTCTGGACTGAGATCATACAGGTGTGCATCACTGTGTGGCTGTGGAGGGCTGCAAAAACAGAAGACAAGTGTCAATTGTGTACTTAATGATTTTTCCCACTAAAACAATTACACAGACAGAGTTTTCCTGGAAATACTTGTAGATGTATAGTGCAAATAGTGCAAAAAGTATTACGATATTACCACACTTATATTTTTTATTACATTTTTTAATAAGGTATGTACACATTATTATAGTAGTACTATTTTGAGTATTTTAGCATGTACTATAGTATGCTAGAAGATAGATGTAAAGTATATATACATGCACTATAGTGTACACCATTCATACATGTACTGTACTGTGGTATTCGCTGTACCATGGCATAATGTTACAAAGGGGTCGTTGACAAGCGTTTTACTAACCAGAATCCAGTGCTTCTCCAAAAGTGCTTCAAGTTTCGTAGTGGCTTGTCAACATTCACTTGAACCTCCTCAGACTGAGAGAAATACTATCCATGTGAATGACCTGTGTTTACATCTATACATGCTGCTCACGTCACTTACAAAACACTCACGTTCAAAGTGCAATGAAAACGAAAAGTACAGTTAGGCTAACATCTGTTAACTTTTTACTCATCTTGATTCTTTAGTCAGTTTAAATTTACTTGCATAGCTATTTTTATAGAATAGATAAGACGACAATATAGCAGCGCAACCGATTATACACACACGCATGCTAACGTTTTTTTTTTTCTAAAGCAAATATCTGAAGCAATTAAGGATAATAAAAGAGATGTGGAAGACATTTTCAGGCCCTTTTTATTGTGACGAATGAGCTTTATATATCGACAATTGTTGTCCTAACAGGCAAGGCTGATTTATTTATTCAGCACATTTAATATAAAATGCATAATACAGAAAAAAGAAATATAAAATTATATAAAATCATAAGTTTTGGACTAAATGGACATAGAATTTAAAAATGGACTCAAATGAAGCATTAAAACAGAATAACAAAATAAAAAGTTGCATTCATAATAAAAAATAAAATATGACATGAAAGAGAACAGACTGTTATGCAGATTTCAACTACTATACAGCTAAAGCAAAATGCATTAAGATCACATAAAACAATAACATAAAAAACCGCTTAAAGCTTTTTATCTACTTCAGTCCCTTACCAAAAAGTAGTATACTTCAAGTTTATTTGATTAAGTATACTTAAGT